GGATCTTACTACCAAACGGATCAACGAAATGTAATAACTTTTTCGTCCATCACAGACGATGTCGCGAGAGAGTGTGCACACGCGTGGAGACGGAAACCGGACTTTTTTATTTGGGCAAACGGTAACAGTAACGAGCCCGTATCAGGAAGACCAATTCGCGCGTGACAATAGGCACGTGGCCAGAAACAGCGATTCGCAAGCCCCAGCAGAAAGTAATTGGCTGAAATCGATACAAGTCGAGTGGCATTGGCACTTGTGGCTGGAATTGGCTGGCGGATTTAATTGAACGGAATCGACGAGAAAAAGCGAGAAAGAATAATATACTTATGTGAGAACGTGTACAAGAGAAGGAAAAGGATGAAAGAAAAGAGAAAGTTTGAGAACAGAACGGTCGCGACTGTCAGAATGATTTTTTCGCAAATCGGTTGCGGATTCCGCCGTTAATTGGAGAAAAAGTGAGAAGAACGAGAGAAGGACCGAGAAGAGCCGAACGAAAAGTGTTACGGTCTCTTTACACGGATGATTAGACTGCATTAAGCGAATTTCGAATGATCTCGAAAGAACGACATTAATCACTTCCCTTTGATAACGCTAACAAACGTTATCGAAAGACTCTCAACAGAAGATTGAGGATCTCTTTGATTTTCTTCGAAATCGGGAATTCTAAGAAATCGCGATGTATCGTAGAAAAATAAATGAAAGTATAATTGGAGGAAAAGGTGCATGGAAAGTTAAAAGGACTCGTGGACGTTCCATTTGATAAGAAGAAATTGTTACGCGACTTGCCGCAGTCGTCGACTTTCTCTACGAGTTACGCTGCAAAAACGATGAAAAAAAGAGGGAAACCAGAATGGGAGACACTCTTTTCGGGTTCATTCAGGATGAAATAAACCAGGAGATTCTCCGCGTCTGGCCCTTGAATGATAATAAAAAAAAAAAAAGAAGAAGAAAGAAAGAAACAGAGATATATCTTGCAGAGCGTGAAATCACGCGAGTGAAGGAAGAATTCTTGCCACACTCGTCTCCCTTTTTATCTCTTTCTGCTTCTTTTCGTTCGTGGTAAGTTCATCGTGCCATGGATAAAACCGAGAATCTCTCACGCGTAATTACTTCGCTATAATGAATCGCATATTAATCGTAATAATTTTCTGCTACGCGTATTATTCCCGACGACGTTTCACGATTTCTTACGCACTTCTAATTTTGTTTCTTAATGTGTTTTTAACTCGTGTGTCGCAATCACTACGGTGAATCTTTTTCAAAAGGAACGGGGTATCAGTTCTATCGAAAGAACAATTTCGTACAAAGACTTTTTGCAACGAGTCTAATGAGATTTGAAGTACATAAATTGAATGAATCGGAAAAAGTTGTGAAACAATTGGTTCAACAAATCAAATCGATTGAATTACCACTTTACATACGTGTATGTATATATTCATATAGACAGAAAGATTCGAGTATGTTCGAGTGCGTTTGAATCGCGTAAACGGCAGTAATTTACTCGTGGATGACTGGCTCGATTCGAATCGTCTATTCTATATCGAAACAGCCGCTATCAAGGATCCCCGGTGAATCCCGAGCACAGGCAGGAACTCGAATGAGATATCCTGGGATAAGAGAGAAGTGGCGTCGCGTGCACTCGGCCACGTGCATATTGTCATTGAGCGAATAACCGTGGACGCGCGTGCATACGTGCGTAAGTCGTGTTGGCACTTGGACACGCGCTTCTTGTCCCTCTTCAGTTTACATCTCCCTCTTTCCCGACCGAGAACGTCGTCGTTAAATACTTCACAGGGGGGG